ATGGCTAATCCCGTCGACTGCAGCTTCCCTGGCGCCTTCCCGTGGACATGGGTTGGGGTTGGATGGGGACAGTGTACTGGGGAGGCGAGTGGGGCAATTCCTCCAGGGTGGGCGGAGGCAGGGGTGGGCTGTGGCCAGCGAGGGTCTTGCGTTTTCCAAATTGGTGGCTTTCGTTTGGGCTGAGCAGGCCTTGGAAACCCGCTTCAGCATCAGCACCTCCTCCTCCTCTTCCCCTGGGGTCAGACAAGGGCCCAGGCCCCAGGCCTGCAGATGCTGAGGAGGGCAGAACATTAGCAGTGTCACCAGGGCTTCCTTCCGGGCTTTTCTTCCAAGGGCCCTTGGGAGGAGCCCTGTTCCTCCTCCTGCATCCCCCTGTGTGTTCTCCACTCTATCAATTCCTCAGCACTCTCCTCTTTCCCCCAAAACTAGAGCCAGGGCCAAGGAAGTGTAGCCAAGAGGATGACTTGGTTTGGTCTCCTGCGGAAAAGATTCCAGCATCTCCCATTCAACAAAAGCCAAAGTCTACAAGAAATAGGACGTGAGGTTTCAGTTCTTGGAACAGGGACTGCAAACCCTTCACCTTCAAGAAGAAAAATTACCAGACACGAAGGGAGCTACCTCCGAGGGGAAGACTCAGGATCCCATTCTGCTCCAGGTACTCTTTGGGGCTGCATTCTCTTTCACTTGCATTTTTTAAAAAATAAAAAGCCAATCTCCATTTCATCAGGATCATCTGTCCCCTTAAGTTTTCTTCCTTTTTAAGCTCCCGCTCCCCACCCCCACCACCCGTGGAGCCAGCTGGATACTGCAGCATTTTCCATGCAAGTACCTGCAATTTCCTTCTCACAATCATAGGGGGTTCATAGGTGGTCACCCTGACTGTGGCAGTACATTGTGACATCGCTGGCACCTCAGAGGTGGATGAATGGCAGGGGGAGGGGAGGAGGGAAGAGAGTTCCGGCAGGCCCTTCTCCTGGTGGATGGTGGCCACAGGGGATGGTGACTTTCTCCTGGTGGATGGTGGCCACAGGGGATGGTGGCCTTCTCCTGGTGGATAGTGGCCTACTGGTGGATGGTGTCCTTCTTCTGGTGGATAGTGGCCTTCTACTGGTAGATGGTGGCCAGAGTGGATGGTGGCCTTCTCCTGGTGGATGGTGGCCACAGTGGATGGTGGCCTTCTACTGATGGATGGTGGCTGTGGCTGTCCAGCCCTGTTCTTACATCCATAGTGCCTCCCCTGTCACTCTCTACATCAATTACTCCCCAGCCCTGCTCTCTCATACTCTTTAGTATCTCGCTTTGTCCTGTTCTAAATGTTGCCTGCCCCCACCACCTTTGCAAGGCCACCCAGACATCTGCCATCACCTTCCCATTGCTCTTCCCGCCTGTTCTCTTGCTCCTTAACTACACCCCGCAGTGAGGCCACGGTGATTTTTCTAAACTTCACTGTGGCTGTGCCATCCCCTGTTCGGAGCTCTCCAGCAGTTTCCATAGCCTTCAGGACTATGTCCAAGAGGCTCAGGGGGACTCTGCTGAGAGCTGCCGGAATTTGGCCCCAGCTCATGGCTCCTCATCTTCTGCCATCTCCAGTTCTTGCACTGGATTCCTGCTTTTCCCCATCAGACTGCGCTGTCAGACTTGCCTCTGGATCTCTGCACAAGACCTTCCTGTTGCCAGGACACCCCTCCTTTCCAATATGTGTGGTGTGAGTGTGTGCACTAGTACACATGCATGGTATCATACACATCCTGTCTAAAGCCCATGTGTGCATACATGTGTCCTATGTAAAGCCTATGCGTGCATACATGTGTCCTAGCTAAAGCCTATGCATGCATACATGTCTCCTATCTAATGCCTTTGCATGCATACTTGTGTCCTATCTAAAGCCTATGCATGCATACATGCATCCTATCTAAAGTCTATGCACGCATACATGTGTCCTATCCAGGGCTATGCATGCATACATGCATCCTATCTAAAGTCTATGCACGCATACATGTGTCCTATCTAAAGTCTATGCATGCATACATGCATCCTATCTAAAGCCTATGCATGCATACATGTGTCCTATCTAAAGTCTATGCACGCATACATGCGTCCTATCTAAAGCCTATGCACGCATATATGTGTCCTATCTAAAGCCTATGCACGCATACATGTGTGTCCTATCTGTAATGCCTTTGCATGCACATACATATGATATCTAAAGCCTATGCATGCATACATGCATCCCTATCTAAAAATCTATGCATGCATACATGCGTCCTATCTAAAGTCTATGCATGCATACATGTGTCCTATCTAAAGTCTGTATGCATTACATACATACCATCCTATCTAAAGTCTATGCATGCATACATGTGTCCTATCTAAAGTCTATGCATGCATATATGTGTCCTATCTAAAGCCTATGCACGCATATATGTGTCCTATCTAAAGCCTATGCACGCATACATGTGTCCTATCTAATACTTTGCATGCATACATGTGTCCTATCAAAGCCTATGCATGCATACATGTGTCCCTATCTAAAGCCTATGCATGCATACAACATCTATCTAAAATCTATGCATGCATACATCGTCTATCTAAAGTCTATGCATGCATACATGCATCCTATCTAAAGTCTATGCATGCATACATGTGTCCTATCTAAAGCCTATGCTGCGCATAGCATACATGTGTCCTATCTAAAGCCTATGCACGCATACATGTGTCCTATCTAATGCCTTTGCATGCATACGTGTCCTATCTAAAGCCTGTGCATGTATACACGCACATACCAGCATTCTATCTAAAACTCATGCATGCATACACGTGCAATGCACCCATGTGTCCTATCTAAAGCCTATGTGTGCATACATGTGTCCTATCTAAAGCCTGTGCATGTATACACGCACACACCTGCATTCTATCTAAAACTCATGCATGCATACACGTGCAATGCACCCATGTGTTCTATCTAAAGCCTATGTATGCATACATGTGCACACATACATCTTTTCTGAAGTCCACACACGGTTTGATGCCCTTCAAGGATTGCAGTTTTTCAGGAAGAATTTCCTCATAGGTCTCCCCCATCCCACCTTAAACACACATTCAATTTGGGTGTTCCTTGGTCTCTCTATAGTTTTTGCTGCTGTTGTCTAATTTCTCTTTCATAAGAACTCTCACCTGTGTTATTTTGTATTGTGATTGCCTCCCTCATGCCCATTCTTTCTATCTTTTGGTAATAAGGTAACTCTTGTACCCTGCTTTTACTTGAGGAATCTACTCCTCTGTTTATGTGCTTTGTGGAAAATCAACTCTATCCTGAGCTCCAAGTCTGGGGAAAATGGCTTTGGCATAAGAAGTAAGAGCCACAGAAATTGGTTGAGGGGTGAAGATGTTACCAAATTCAAGACAATCAGTTTGGGAAAAAAATTTATTGGCAGTTTCTAGGTAAGATGTTTCCTTGATGTACTGGGAGGTCTCTGGGTATGATGGCCTGTTCCCCCTGAATTTAAAGGGGGAAGTAAGAAACCTGGGTGTTTTGGCTACTGGCATTATAATAAAGCTAATCCTGCAGAAGGCAGAGCTGAAGGACAGAGAGAAACTGGATCCTTGATGTCATTGGTAGAGCGGTTGAATCAAACTGAACCTGAAGCCAGATCTGGCCTGTGTTTCCAGTCACATGTCCCTGTAAATCACTTTTACTATTTAGGTCAGTTTGAATTAGCTTTGTTGTTACATGCAGAGAAGTCTTAATACACTCTCTTTTTCTGTCCTGATTTTTTCTTCTCTCTCTTATTGTTCCTTTCCCCTTCCCTTTCTGTTAAATGAGGGTGTGCCTCTGTGACTTATCCTTGTTGTCATTTACAAACTGGGTGACCTCATTTATGACTGCAGTTTGCCATTGTCTTCCAAATCTGTAAAGTTCAAGGTCTAGGCAGGAATACCTAACAGTTTTTTTTCTTCTCTTCTTTCTTTTTCTTTTTCTTTTTTTTTTGAGACAGGGTCTCACTTTGTCACTCAGGCTGGAGTACAGTGTTGTGATCATGGTTTGCTGCAGCCACAATCTCCTGTCCCATCTCAGCCTGCTGAGTGGCTGGGACCACAGGTGTGCGCCATTATGTCTAGCTGATTTTTTATTTTTTTGTGTGAGTGGGGTTTCACCATGTTGCCTAGGGTGGTCTCTAACTCCTGGGCTCAAGCAATCCTCCCACCTCTGCCTCTCAACGTACTGGGATTACAGGGGCCAACCACCGTGCCCAGCCCTCTAACAGCTTTCTAGCATCTCTTCTTCATCCCACAAAAAAACCCCAAGAAACTCACCCTGCAGTGGCGTCCTTGTCTGTGAGGGCAGCAGCCTGAGCTGAGCCTCCCCTGTAGGGGGACACTGTAAAGTATCTAAGGCCTTCCTGGGGTGCTTCCCCCATGCCTAGGGTCACTGCAGGAGATGATTCCAAGGAGTGACTTTCCTCTCCAGGTTGAGGCGGGAGGGAGCGGCAGTGAGGACCCTGGAGGTCACCCCGGTAGCAGCTGCAGGTGTGAAGAGGAACCAGGCAGGAGTTATTGTCCTCACTACCAGGTTCACTGAGGCAGTGAAGACCACTTTGATCCCTAGAATTCCCCAGAAAATGTTTTTTGCTGCCTTTGGGGCAGATACAGGGAAACTTCTAGGCTATTAGGGGTGCGAGGAAGGAGAGTAGAGACAGGTGCTTTAGAAGGAGAGAAGCTCTGTTTGTCCTCTCTGCCCTTCCCCTATTTAAGGGCCTGGTGCTGCCTCCCTCATGAGGCCTTCCCTGACCACCAGCTGCCCCTCCCCCTGGCCACTGTCACTCCCTTTGGTTTGGGGGAGTGGGCCACTCCCTTTCTCTTTTAGGCAGGTCTGGAGGCCTGTGTGCTTGAGGCTTCCACATGCTTATGGGTTCAAAGCGGGAATGTAGGTGTGGGGGAGCCTGGCTCTGATCAGCTGATCCAAGGGCAGCCGCGGCTGGCAAGAGGGCACCAGTTTTGAATTATGAGTTCTGAATGATGATGGAAACTACTGATAATAACAACCACATGATGAGGACTCACCGTGATGCCTCATCCTCTCTCCAGCAGGCCGTCTTAATGAGGTTGCGTTCTGTGGGGAGGGCGGGATTTTGAATGAGTGTCTGAGAGCCCCCACCTCCAGCTCCTCCTCCCACTCCTGCAGTCGGACGTGGCAGGAGACTTCTCAGTGCCGCTTCAACCTCAGCGGCAGCATGCTCAGAGGGCCTGGGGGAGGGGAGGCAGGAGGCAGAACTCGGACACTCTGCAGTAGTACCACCCTTTCCTGTGCTCCCACCCACTGTGCAGGGGAGGCCTTGCTTTCTGGTCGCCAGGGAAGCAAGGAGGCATCGGCCCAGGACAGCAAGGGCAGGAAGGAGCCTGGGAGAAACAGAAGTCAACAAGCAGCAGATCAGGAGCCTTGTGGAGCAGCCTCCGTCTGCCCGGCAGCCACAGATGTGGCCTCAGTGACCGCCCAGGGCCTCTCCCACTCCAGCGGCTGCTGTGCTCCTGCCAAGGGCCCATGGGGGCAGCAGCTGTGTGTCATCCCTGCCCTTCCTCCTCCTCCCTCCTTGTCTCCCTCCTCCCTGCCTCCTTCCTGCCTTCACCATCTCTAAGCACCTACCCTTCATCTGCATGGAAGAAAGCTCATAGAATGACTATTTCCAGGGACATTTGAATTTTATGAGTGCTTCTCAAGCCCCAAAGGCAAAGGTAATGAAATCATATTGGTGGAATCCAGAGGCTGTTTTGGAGGGGACTAGAAGACAGGAGGGCCTCCTAGGCTCCATTCTGAATAGACATGCCTACATCATCCCTCTCTCCCTCCTTCCCCATTTCTCTTCCAGGGGTTTCCCTGGGCTAGGCCCTGGGCTTGACACTGGGATGCAAAGGAACTGAGTCCTGGCCTGAAGGAAGGCCTTGCTTCTGCCAACCCTGCAGAAAGTGCTGCTTTTCCCAGAGAGACAGCAGGGCTCCTGCTGGAGGTGGCGGTGGGAGTGAATTCTCTGCTCTCTTGTGGTCTCTCTGATGAGCTCCTTCTGGAGTTGGTTCAATCCTGGTGAACTGGGGGTTCCCAGTCCCAGTTTCCTTAGAGTCAGCTTTGTCAGGGCTCTGGTGACTGTGGGAGGATTTGTGACTGGAGGCTGAGTCCAGGGCCTGGTGTAAGTGTGGTGAGGCTCCTGTGCACGCTCAGAGCTGGGGACGGGGGACCTCTGATGTCCTCCCTAAGACACAGTGAGACCCAGAAGCTCTCAGCTCTGTGCTACCCTGGTTTTGGTGACTTGGAAAAGGCTGGTGAGGGGTAAAAAACAGAGAGTCTGGCCTGGCCCCAGGCAGGTTCCCTGAGCAGCTGCAGGCTGTGGCCTCCTGTGCTCTGTGGGCCTGAATACAGCCCGTGAAGTGAAACCTCAATCCCAGGACAGCTCTGCCAGCACTCACCAGCCCCTGCACACAGTCCCACAAGGAGATCCTGCTCTGTCCTCATCCTGTTCCTGAAGACCCTTCCTCTCTGTGGCCCACAGGACTGGCTACATAATTTGCTAAGCCCAGTACAAAATGAATATGTAAGATTCCTCCTTAAAAAATTAAGGATCTCAAGATAGCAACAGCAGAGCATTAAACCAAGTGTGGGGCCCTTCTGAGTGCCACAGAGCCAGCTCTGGCTGCCCAATATTTACTTCTTAAAGGGGGACTTTGGAAACATCATGGGAACAACTCTAAATGGGAATTTTCAGGCCCTGGTGACAGGGGGCAGAGGAGTTAGGCCCACCTGATACTCTCAGATTGCACCCTGGAGACTAGGGACCACCTATACTAGTTCCCACCATAAAAAGTAGCTTCCTTTGCTTTTCCTCTTTCCTGTATTCTGCTGTGAGTATTACTCCTGTATTTCATGTCAGGGGTGCAAGGAAGGAGGGTGTGTGTGTGTGTGTGTGTGTGTGTGTGTATGTGTGTGAGAGAGAGAGAGAGAAGAGCAGGTGGAGGAGGAAGGATGGGATGGAGTTCGGTTTTCTATTAACCTCTGCCCCACTGCTATTCCTTCGGGGGGTGTTGTGTGCAGTTCTTGTTGTTCCGGTGACCTGCAGCTCCAGGTACAGTCTCTTTCCTGCTTTCTCCTCTCCACGGTGGACCCTGCTCATCCTCCCAGCTGCTTGGAAGGGAAGATAAACACTGCAGAGTGCAGGAGCGCTCATGCTGAGAGCAGAGAAAGAGGTTTAATGGGCTTGTTATCAGGCACCTGCTGAGCAGTCCTTCTCCCAACAAGACAGGACTGAGAGATAAATGACCTGGCCCAAGCAGCCTCCTGGTGGGAAGAGAAATGCCTGGAACAGGAAGGGGTGAATCCATAGACCAGGCCGGTCATAGGGGCAGGTGAAGATTTGCGGGGAGAAAAGCGGCCCTCCCTCTGCACAGTTGTCAACCATCCAAGGTACCAATCAATCTAGAAATATTTGTTGCAGGTCTCCTGGGCTCCCAGTGTTGCAGAGAATGCAGAGAGGCACCCATCTGGTCCCTGCCTCCAATGAGCTCACCATCTAGTCGGGAGACCCGACCGACCTGACCTCACCTCCTTGAGGATTGGGGGTGCGGACTGTTCACCTGGCAGGGCCTGGTCCATGGATGAGACTGAAGAAAAACTGATCAACTGAATGAGTTAAACTGAAACAGTGGTGGCAAGGAGTAGAAAGGACAACCTCTTCAGAGTTCAGACAATAAGATTCAGAATGACAAAAGAGAGCATTCAGCTCTCTTTTTGAAGAGTCTCTTTAGCTCTCTTTGGTTGAAGGTGGGACACTGAAAAAAAAAAAAAAAAACCAGGCATGGTGGTGGGCGCTTATAATCCCAGCTACTTGGGAGGCTGAGGCATGAGAATTGCTTGAACCCCAGAGGTGGAGGTTGCAGTGAGCTGAGAGCCAAGATTATGCCATTGTGCTCCAGCCTGCGTGACAGGGTGAGACCTTGTTTAAAAAAAAAAAAAAAAAAAAAAAAAAAAAAGGCCAGGCACGGTGGCTCACACCTGTAATCCTAGCACTTTGGGAGGCTGAGGTGGGCAGATCACTTGAGGTCAGGAGTTCGAGACCATCCTGCCCAACATGGTAAAACTCTGTCTCTACCAAAAAATACAAAAAACAAACAAACAAACAAAAAACCTGGGCGTGGTGGCATGTGTCTGTAATCCCAGCTGTTCAGGAGGCTGAGGCATGAGCGTTGCTTGAACCTAGGAGTCAGAGCAGTGAGCCGAGATCATGCCACTGCACCCCAGCCTGGGTGACAGAGTGAGACCTTATCTCAAAAAACAAACAACAAAAAAAGAAGAAAGTGGGACACTATTAAAGAGATAGATTTCGAGTTGCATCTTGAGGATTTGGATTGTGAGGAGCGGGAGAGAGCAGAGTGTCAGGCAATGCAGGGTAGAGACTGAACGCTGACGTGTTGGTGTTAGGATGACATGGTTTCCCATGCTGGCTCACCTTTGAATAGCTGTGTGACTGGGTGTAGGTTACTTAACCTTTCTAAACTCTATTTTTCCATATGTAAGATGGGGACGAATAGTACCTACTTCATAGGATTGTTATAAGGCTTACCTAAAATATCCTCTGTAGAGAAAACAGAGTTTTGCTGAAAATCCAACTCATAAAAGGCAGATTACCTAGAGAAAAGGCATACAAATTTATTTTATGTGTGTACAGGGGAGCTTTCAGAATGACGACCCATGGATACAGGGCTAATTGTCCATTTTTATGCTCAGGTTCAATGAAGTATGGACAGCGGTGCAGAAACATGATGGACAAAAATAGGCTGATCTAATGCTGATAGATTAGTTTTTATGAGTGGGAAAACCCAACAAAGCTTGTCTAGATTCTTCTTGGCCTCTCTGAGCAGCTTCTTTTCCATCTGGGAATGGAGCAGGACTTTCTCTAAAATGAAGGTCTTATGACCTACAGTCAAACAAGGTAGGTCAGATAATTTCTTTATGGCCAGTTTTTACATGGAAAGGTGAAGGGAAAGTTGGAGTAATGTGTTTAGGTTTTATGGCTGGTTTTGGGGAAAAGAGGTTCTGGTTTCTATGACCCGCTCTAGTTTCTATAGCTAGGTTTGGGGGTAGAATGGACTAAGAGACAGGAGAGCGGGAGAAGATCAGAGAAAAACTTTTGCTTTTCAGGTCTTTGTTTTGGGGTATTGTTTTCTGAGTCCCAACACCTCCATAAAGCACTTAGCATGGTGCCTGGCATATAGTAGATGTTCAATAAAGGGTGACATCTTTTATTATTAACTACAAAGACATAAGGCAGGAAAGCTCAATAGGTTTGAGTAAAAGACAATGGTTTCTGCTTCACTAGAGAAAAAAGGAGTTTAGGAAAAAGAAGGCTTTACATTTTATGATGGGGCTAGACTGGTCTTGAATGCCAGGTTTGGAAAATGAGGTTTTGTGGAAGAGGAGATAACAAGACTTAAGTCACTCTTGGGGATCTTGGAGGGTTATTCCTTTTCTTGTAACTAGTTCTGTCAAGTCATTCTCGCATTGGTATTAGAATATATATAGTGTCTCTCTGTGTGCACTGTACACTTTCTTCCAATTTTTAAAATTTTCAGATGTCATGAATGTCATCTAAATTTGTAAATAACCAGGAAATCTTTGGACTGCATGAGCGAAGGGATTATTAGAAATGAAAAAAAAAAAGGCTGGGTGCGGTGGCTCACACGTGCAATCCCAGCACTTTGGGAGGCTGAGGTGGGCGGATCACCTGAGGTCAGGAGTTCGAGACCAGCTTGGCCAACATGGTGAAACCCCGTCTCTACTAAAAATACAAAAATTAGCCTGGTGCGGTGGCACTGCCTGTAATCCCAGCTACTTGGGAGACTGAGGCAGAAGAATCACTTGAACCCAGGAGGTGGAGTTTGCACAGTGAGCTGAGGCTGCGCCACTGCACTCCAACCTGGGCAACAGAGCAAGACTGTCTCAAAAAAAAAAAAAAAAAAAAGATCCTAGAAATTTTAAAAAATTATCTTGATTCAAGAATTTGCCTGGATTTTGCTTTCAGTAAGGGTTAAGAAAGCATGAAAAGGCGTGCCATTCCCACTTCTGCTTCCCAGTGGGGGATGCCTGGGGAGTCAGGGAGACCCCCTTGCCATCCTCTGAGCTCTTTAGAGTTGTAATACTCAAGAAAGATACTTCTTTATGCAGGACCTTCACAGCAGGCCTCCTTTCTAGAAGGTGGCCTAGAAATAGACATTAAAATGTAAAATATGCAACTCCTTTGCCCAGGCATCTTTCTACTTCTGGGAATTTATCTTAAGAAAATAATCAAGAAGAATGTCTGTTTTTTACTTGTTTAAAATAGCAAAGACATGAAAACAGCTTAAATATCCATTTACATGGTATTGATTTTTAAAAATGGAAGTTTTGGGCTGGGTGCAGCAGCTCACGCCTGTAATCCCAGGACTTTGGGAGGCCGAGGCGGGCAGATCACAAGGTCAGAAGTTTGAGACCAGCCTGAACAACATGGTGAAACCCTGTCTCTACTAAAAATACAAAAATTAGCTGGGTGTGGTGGGGAGGGGCGCCAGTAATCCCAGCAACCCAGGAGGCTGAGGCAGGAGAAGAGCTTGAACCTGGGAGGCAGAGGTTGCAGTGAGCCAAGATCACGCCACTGCACTCTAGCCTGGGTGACACAGCAAGACTCTGCCTCAAAAACAAACAAACAAACAAACAAACAAACAAACAAATAAATAAAGGGGCCAGGCGCAGTGGCTCACGCCTGTAATCCCAGCACTTTGGGAGGCCAAGGTGGGTGGATCACCTGAGGTCAGGGGTTCGAGACCAGCCTGGCCAGCATGGAGAAACCCCATCTCTACTAAAAAAATTAGTCGGGCGTGGTGGCGCATGCCTGTAATCACAGCTACTCGGAAGGCTGAGGTAGGAGAATTGCTTGAACCTGGGAGATGGAGGTTGCAGTGAGCCAAGATTGTGCCATTGCACTCCAGACTGGGCAAGAAGAGTGAAACTCCATCTCAAAAAAAATTAAAAAAAGGAAATTATTCAATGAAAATATTAAGTAAGCATTTATTAAAAATTGTGGCTCAAATCTACATATATAACCATCAACCGTTATCCTGTGAGAAGACTGTCAAAGTATAATGAGTGTTTCAGGACAGTATATTTGAATGACCAAATTCATGTATGTTACATTTATATTTACATACACATTAAAACTCAGGAAGGGTATAAACCAGCCTATTATAGTGGTGATATTTGGGAAAGGGATTATGAGCAGATATTGGGTGTTTACTTCAATATTTCTTTCTATATTATATGAATTTTTAAATAGATCTGATATTTCAGATTTGAAAAAAAGTCCTTGCATCTTTTTTGTAGGCTTGAAAAAAAATTAATAAATGGCTTGAAAAGTAGCTGATTTGAGAGTAAATAATGTGACAAGAGAGATACCAGAGAAGAGAAGGTGTCTGGATGGTTGGCATAATTAAAATCAATATGGATCGTAAGAAAATAATTATATTCACTGTACAGTATTTTTGAAGATTGCTTCTATCAAACCTACAATTTGTGAGTAAAGCTAAATGTGTAATATTCACACAAATGTTATGAGGATGATTCATGTTGCTCCTCCCTCTGGCTCCCTCTGGCTGCTTTAGGCTTGGGGGGTCCCCTGTGAAGTTGGAGCTGAGTGGGATCTAGGACTCAGACAGTGCTCACTGGCTCTGTCTGCCAGTGACACATTTCAAGAGGGCAGATCCCACAGTGAACTCAGTTGGCTGGTGGCTCCTGAGAAATGTGCCACCCCAGTCCTTTGCCAGGTTCTTGTCTTGGCACCAGCAGACACCTTCACCCCATACCTCAACAAGCAGGTATTTAATTGGACACTTAGTACATGCCCCGCTGAGTTGAGGACATAGATCTGAAGGGAAAGAAGCATGGTTGGCCTCAAAGAGCCTGTAACTACCCACTTCTAGGGTGTGGGCAGAGCTGGCAATGTTAGAGCTGCAGTTCACATAGCAGGCTGCTGGCCAACCTGTCCATTACTGATTCAAGAGTGGTGAGGTGGGGGCAGCACTGGTGAGGATGATACCTATCCTAGAGATGATTAAGTTGGGATGACATGGTTTCCCATGCTGGCTCAACTTTGAATAGCTCTGTGGCTATCTCACTCCTTGGTGGAGGCACTGGAGCTGTGATTTCTGAGGCAAGGATGTGGTCCCACTGGGAATTGGAATGTCTGAGGTCGTTTGAGGCCGCGTGGTGACTAAAAGCAGGGGTGATGGAGACTGACCAGCTGGGGTTTGATTCCTGGCTCTGCTGTTTACGAACTGTGTGGTTTTGGGCAAGTGACATAAGCATTAAGCTCTAATTTCTTCACTTGTTGAAAGAAAAAAAAGGAATAACAACAGCATGAGGTCATATAAGTGAAGCACTTTGCATCAAATTTAGTCTGTTTAATAACTTTTTCATGTCAGCATCATTGTGCCTGTTTTACAGAAAGGGAAACTGAAGCTTATGAAAAAGGTGATATCTAACTCCAAAGCTCAAGCTCTTGCTTCTACTTCTGTACTTCTACCTCAACCTCTATCCCAACTTCATTCTGACACCCACTCCTCCTATCTAGACCCCTGAACGTGTCTCCTGTCCCACCCCTCTACACTCCGTGCATGACTGTACAAGGCTGTAGTCTATACGACTATAACATCTTATTCAACCTGCTTTTACATTGTGTGTAAAAGACAAGCTTGAACTCTGGTGCCCTTGAACAGGGCATAATTAGGAGACTAGAGAAGAAGTGTTGGGGGGAGTCCAAAAAGGAGAGTGAGAATAAAATGATGGCTTGAGAGCGATGACTTCTAAAAAACGAAGGAACAATAGCATGTGTGGCACTGAAGATTCAGGAGAAATGGGGGGGAAAAGGCTGTGTTTTCTGAATGGAATGGGAACCTGGAGGACTGGATTCTGAGGAGCCTCCCATTACCTTGGCTTGGGAGAGAACAGGTAGGTGTGAAGTGGACAAGGAAAACCAGGTGTCCTGGAGCACTGTGCAGGTAAGGTGTGCCCTGAGAAGGGGAGTGCTCAGCAGACGAAGGACAGGTAGAGGCACTGACAGAAAGGGCACAAGGCTGGAGTCTAGTGACATCACATCCCCAGCATTGGAAGATCCTAAATTCTAGGGTCACACGGGGATATCTGCATGGGGAATAAGGTGTTATGAATGGATTATTTTTATATCTCAGACTTGTCAGGATTTTATTTCGGAGCTTGATTCTTCCATTTTCTTCTGTTTCTTCTGTCGTGTCATGCAAGCGAGGACCTCTCTAGGAAAGGAATATACAAATTGGCTTCCTGTCCAGGGATTCATACATATATAGCCATTATTTTTTAAAATAAAGATTGTTCGGAAAGTTTAAAAACACCTGCTCTTAAACTGGCCTGCATGTGTGGTTGAGGACAGTTCCCAGATGAAGGAGTCGTGCCGAAGGGGAGGATCATGGTGCAGGAGAGAGGCCTCTTGAAAATCAGTAGGCAGGGGATGGAGGTGAAAGGGTGCATCTCGGAGCCCTTGGCTTGACTGGAGGAGGGTTTTGCTGGGAAGGCAGGCATGGCAATGGGGTTTATAGAGGCTTAGGGTAGTGTTTGACTTCACCCCTTCTCACTGTGTGCTGCTGTGAGAGCCTCAATTTCCTCTTTAAGTAGAGATCATAGTAACTTATACAAAGCAACTGACCCATGGTTGGGTGGAGACCAGCTACCCAACAAGAACAGGCTGGGTGCTGTGACTCACAATTGTAATGGCAGCACTTTGGGAGGCCAAGATAGGATGCTCGCTCAAGCCCTGGAGTTCGAGACCATCCTGGGCATTATAGTGAGACCCTTTCTCTACAAAACAATTGTTTATTTTAAAGTAGTCAAGTGTGGTGGCATGTAACTATAGTCCCAGTTACTTGGGAGGCTGGGGTGAGAAGATCACTTAAGCCTGGGTGGTGGAGGCTGCAGTGAGTCATGATTGTGTCACTAGACTCTAGATTGAGTGACAGAGTGAGACCCTGTCTCAAAAAAAAAAAAAAAAAAAAAAAATGCTGGCTTTCCTCCCCTTTAGAGGATTCTCCAAGGCCAGGGCATCTGTGTGGCAAAAATCTTGCCTCCTGAAATGCTTGAAAACTAATGAATAGTTAGTCAAACTGCAACATTGCCAGCGTCCTCCCCTGCCGACTCCTGCTTTCTGGCAAGGCCTACCTGGTTGACTTCTTTCTGGGCAGGTGTGATGGCAGGCAGCAGATGGCCGAGTTATTTTTAGCAACCTGCAGAGGATGACGTATGTGACTCCCAAGGCCACATACCTGGACCTGTGCTTATCAGACATATGTGCACAAATTCAGGGTGCAGTGAAGAAGAAACTTCAGTAGGATGATGTCAGGAAAGCCCTCTTCCTGGGCCAGACAAAGCCTTAGCCGGACACAGAGGTTGAGGTCTCAGACTTTGGAAGCTGGTTTCTGAAGGTGCCACCTTCTCACATGGCTCTGTGGCTTCACACGTGCCGTCTCCCCCTACACTGCTTGTTCTTACATCCTGATTGGTGATTTCCTACCAATCTTCCCAAACCTTTTCCTGATACCTTCAGGCAGAATTCAACACCTCATGTGGGCTGCCATATCACCTCTGTCACAGTGGTTAACACAGACTACGGCAATCATTTGCTTTTTTTTTTTTTTTTTTTTTGAGGTGGGGAGTCTCACTCTGTCGCCCAGTCTGGAGTGCAGTTGTGGGATCTTGGCTCACAGCAATCTCTGTCTCCCAGGTTCACACCATTCTCCTGCCTCAGCCTCCCGAGTAGCTGGGACTACAGGCGCCTGCCACCATGCCTGGCTAATTTTTTTCTATTTTTAGTAGAGATGAGGTTTCACCATGTTAGCCAGGATGGTCTCGATCTCTTGACCTCGTGATCTACCAGTCTCAGTCTTCCAAAGTGCTGAGATGACAGGGGTGAGCCACCGTGCCAGGCCAATCATCTACTTCTTAAACCAAACTGAGACCTTGCTGGGGCCAGGGGCCGTGCCTCATTCGTGTGTGTAGTGCCAGGACGTTGCACAGTACTTGGCAGATGGTGGGTGTTGATGAATGAATACATTACATAAATTTGTCAATTTTGTGACATCTTTTCCTTTCTCTCAGCCCCCAGAAAGTGCTCTACGATTTTGCATTAATTTCTTTTTAAGTGAAAATGAATTTGAACTGCTTTTGTTTCAAGAATTTCACAGCCACCCACTGAAGCCGCTGGAGATCTGAGGAATCCCAAAGACAAGAATGGGAATCTCTCCCTTACCCTCAGGTTAGGAGATGATTGTCCCAGACTTCTGTGTGGTTAGCAGGATTGGGGTAACCCAAGGTGGGTGTTTGGGCTCAGAAAACAATACCCCCGCAAAATGAAGGCCTCAGAAGCAAAACTTTTCCTCTGGCCCTCTCCTGTCCCCCTGGCTCTGCCTCTCATTCTCCCCTGAGGCTGGCCAGAGAAACTAGAATCCCTCTTTTCCATGGCGGATCATAGAAACAGGAACCCATTTTCCCCAAAGCCAGCCATAAAACCTAAAAATGTTACTTTAATGTCCCCTCTGCTTTTCTGTGTAAAAACTCATCATGAAAAATTATCTGATCGAGCTTGTTTGACAGTAGGGCAGAAGCCCTCCTTTCCAGAGAGGGTCCTGCCCCACACCCAGAAGGAAATGCTGCTCAGAGAGGCCAAGAAGATTCTAGACAGATAGGCTTTGCTGGGTGTCCCCAGTCAGTCCATCAGGATGGACTTTTTGTCCAATCATATTTCTACATGGCTGTCCATACTTCGTTGAACTTAAGCATAAAAGTGGACAATATCCTCTGTATCTTTGGGTCTTCATTCTGAAGGCTCCCTTGTATACACGTTAAATAAATTTATATGTCTTTTTTCCAATTGATCTCCCTTTTGTGAGTTGATTTTTCAGAGAACCTTCAGAAGGCCAAGGGTTTCCCTTGGCCCCTAGGTGGGGGTAACCCAAACAACATGCGTCAGCTGAGTGCTGGGCCTGACTTGCCCTTGACGGAAGTGCCTGTCTTGGATTGACCGTTGGACCTGCCCTGGACGGAAGTGTCTGCCCTGGATTGGCTGCTGGACTTGCCCTTGACAGAAGTGCCTGCCCTTGATTGGCTGCTGTGGGCTGGCTGGGCTGGGGCTTCCACAGAAGAGCTGCCTTCTTGAAGGGTTAAAGCACCAGCTCCAGGAAATCAGGGTCAACCCGGGATCTCCCATTAGGATTCAAGTGATGGTCTAACCTGCTGCGCCTCCTCCATCATGGGCTTGATGAACACTGACTGGATTTGTGCCGGCGTGGTGGCTCACGCCTGTAACCCCAGCACTTTGGGAGGCCGAGGTGGGCGGATCACGAGGTCAGGAGATCGAGACCATGGTGAAACCCTGTCTCTACTAAAAATACAAAAAATTAGCTGGGCACGGCGGCGGGTGCCTGTAGTCCCAGCTACTCAGGAGGCTGAGGCAGGAGAATGGCGTGAACCCAGGAGGCGGAGCTTGCAGTGAGCTGAGATTGCGCCACTATACTCCAGCCTGGGTGACAGAGCAAGACTAGGTTTCAAAAAAAAAAAAAAGAACACTGACTAGATTTGAATGCCCAAAAGTCTGGGACTGGCTCTTTTTCCCTCAGGGACCTCATGGGGAGGCCCTATCAGTGTCCAGCAAATCAAAGTAGAGTGACTGGCGGTAGCCCTCAGCTGTGTTTGGAGGCCTTCACTCTGGACTGATGTGGCACTTCTGTTCTGGTTGCTAGCTAGTCGGTCATCCTATGGATCGAGGATAGACTGACTCGGTCTTCATTGCCTCTTGGGGAGAGGGGTGGTCAGGATTTTCTGGAGTTAGAGTTTTAAAGATGCCCCAGGGAAGATGCCTGGAGAAATAGTTGTCAGAGGCGGGCAAACCAGAGCAACTCCATCTTGAATAGGAGCTGGGTAAAATGAGGCTGAGACCTACTGGGCTGGATTCCCAGACAGTTAAGGCATTCTAAGTCACAGGATGAGATAGAAGATCAGCACAAGATACAGGTCATAAACACCTTGCTGATAAAACAGATTGCAGTAAGGAAGCCAGCCAAAACCCACCAAAACCAAGATGGCGACGAGTGTGACCTCTGGTCATCCTCACCGCTACACTCCCTCCCACCAGTGCCATGACAGTTTACAGATGCCATGGCAATATCAATTTACCCTATATGGTCTAAAAAGGGGAGGCATGAATAATCCACCCCTTATTTAGCATATCATCAAGAAATAACCATAAAAATGGGCAACTGGCAGCCCTCAGGGCTATGGAGTAGGCATTCTTTTATTCTTCTGCTTTCTTTTATTTTTTTATTTTGAGACGGGGTTTTGCTCTTGTTTCCCAGGCTGGAGTGCAATAGCGCGATCTCGGCTCACTGCAACCTCTGCCTCCTGGGTTCAAGTGATTCTCCTGCCTCAGCCTCCGGAGTAGCTGGGATTACGGGCATGTGTCACCACGCCTGGCTAAGTTTTTGTATTTTGAGTAGAGATGGGGTTTCTCCATATTGGTCAGGCTGGTCTCAAACCCCCGACCTTTGGTGATCTGCCCGCCTTGGCCTCCCAAAGTGCTGGGATTACAGGCATGAGCCCCCGCACCTGGCCCTATTCTTTTACTTTCTTAATAAATCTGCTTTCACTTTACTCTATGGATTTGCCCTGAATTCTTTCTTGTGTGAGATCCAATAACCCTCTCTTGGGGTCTGGATCAGGACCGCTTTCCTGTAACACACTGACCATTTTAAGGAGAGGGCATGCAGATTACAAGTATGGGAAGAAAAATAAGAACTCAGCCCTAACCTAGACTCTGAAGGAGGCTCCTTGTGACGGTCTTGGAGCCTGATTTTGCAGAGCCTGGTTCTCACTAGGGCACTACCACCTGGGGCATGGGGACGTACCTGAAGTACTATCCTTGGATTTTCCTCATTGCATCAACAAACTGAGATACCAGAAGCTCTGAGAACATGTTACTTCAGAGGTTGAAATTATAGACTCATAGCAGTCAAATTGGCTATTTGCAGTAATAACTATTCTAGTGTGGTTGGAAAAGCCTAGTAAATGTTGCCCTTGTTTGAAATCTTCCCCTGATCCCCACCCTGCCACCTCCCCAGTGCTGAACAGGTTGGGAGGCAGAGTGACTATTTTCTGTTTGTTTGTGTTTCAGAGTCAAGCTGTCTGGAACTACTGTCTGGAAGAGCATCTTCCCCATCCCAGCAACTGTACCCCTCAATCAGGAACTGTTACTGAACCCAGGGCTGCCTGGATAAACATTTATAAGACCCAGAGGGATCATTAGTGGAGGGTAGAGGATGTCTTTGCTTGAACCTCTGACGGTCACCATAAGTCCAAAACTGAATTCACCCTTTGCCCTTTAACTCATAGAAATTCAAATGAGGCAAGGGTGAGGAGAGAGAACAACTTAAACCATTGGTTCTCAACCTTGTCTGCACCTTAGAATTCAGATACCTAGGCTGTTCTCTAGAAGGATGGAATCAGAATCTCTGGGGGTGGAACCCAGGCATCTGTATTTTTCAAAGTTCCCCAGGTGATTCCAATGTGCAGCCAAGGTTGAGAATCATAGACTCAAACTTGCTTGGAGTTCCTGCTAGTCATTCTACCTATGGCTGAAAACCCTGGGGTGAAGGAGTGGAAGACCTGATTCTTCTATCTCTGTGGGGTTCCTTGTGTTTTTCCTGTAATGAGCATCTCTCCATGCTGAGTGTGATTTTTGGGGTTTAAGA